TTTTAACTGATCTAAATTAGTAAGTAACTTATAATTTTTTCTATTATTTTTTTTTATTTTGACTATTTAATTACTGTATATTTTTGTTTATGTATCTCTAAGGCTCCTTAGCCCATATTATTGTCTTTTTATATTATTCTAAAGGGACTTGTCCCAGAATAAATAAAGCATTATTATTTTATTATTATTATTATAAGTCTACTATACGGTTATTTTTCTCTATTTGGGCTAAGTTATGCGACGATTACAGATAAGGATATTCCTTTGATAATCACAAGTTGTGAAAATTCTAAACATTAAATTGGGTGTTTTCTGAAAATATGATTTTTCTAAGCACAGGTGCCAGAGATATATAATTTTAATATAAATATACACTCAGTGTCAAAACGTTAGACACGGCCATTGAAATTAAAAAAAACTTTTCATGTTTTCTTTGTTTTTTATTGATATTATTTTTTAAAGCACAGTTTAAAGTACAAATTATGATATTGAAATGGGAACAATCTTCTCAGACCTTGAGTATTATTTAAATCCAATTTCAGTAAATATTGACATATATGCGGCGAAACGATAGACACACTTGTTTACTATTTTCTTAATCCTCTATAGTTGAAATCGTTAAAATACCATTTCTAATTCAGTGCAGTGTTGAATATGTTTCAAAGTAGGCCTAAAAAGAACGTGAGTTATGAGAAAAATGCGTGTTCCTCCGAAGAAGAGCGCCACTTGATTTCTTCACTCCACAAGGACGGGATGAGTTGTAGGGAATTAGTCCGTCGAATCAAGCGTCGAGTTTTTCATCGATTGCGAAGTTTATTCGGCACGGGGGGACTTATGGAAACTACCGTTCTATTGGGAGGCCCCCTGCTTTGACATTACGAGAGAAATGGAATATTCTTCAAATCGCATCCAAATCTTGTAAAACAGCTATTGCTGAGGAAACTGGAGTTCAAACAAAACTAAGGAATATCTAAAGATTATTAAAAAATGTCAAAGACAATAGTCAAAGAAACCCAATTTTGAGTACCCGTCACAAATTAGCCCGGATGGCCTCATAATGTGATGTCATGGACTGAGGAGTGAAAGAAAGTCACCTTTCGTAATGAAAAAAAAATCAATCTGGACTGGCCAGATGGATTTTCGTATTATTTTCATGACTTAAGAAAAGAAGAACAAATTTTATCAAGACGTCAAATGAGGAGGAGCAAAAGTTATGGTTTGGGCATCAATTGTTTCCAAAAAGAAAGTAAATTCGGTATTTCTTTCATCAAGATTAAATTCAGCTGAATATAAAAATTTATTAGAGGAACAAAAGTTGACATGTCTGAAGGCACACCAGTTTCTCAGCAAGATAACACCCCAATACATTCAGCAAAAATTATTGAGTGGTTTACTCCCAACAAAATTGCCAAATCAGACTGGTCAGCTGTCTTCCCGGACCATAACATTACCGAAAATGTTTGGGGAACTCTTTCAAGAAGGGTATACTTTGAGTCAAGACAGTTCGAAACAATCGAGGATTCGAAATCTGCAATTCTGGCTGCATGGAAACAATTACCTCAAGAAACAATCAAATAATTGTGCGATTCATTACTAAACAGAATTTTTAAATTAATTAATGGTGTTGGAAAGGCCACGAAGTATTAAAATGAGTTTTATTTATTTTTACCAGGGAGCGAGTCTAACATTTTGACAGGCCTTAAGTTTAATTTGAAAAAAAGAAAGTATATATCTTTGGCTTGAGAACCAAAATGCAAGCAGGCTTCTGATTAACTTCAGGTGAGTAGTAGATTATTTTAATAGTGTTTTACGGATAATTTTAAAAGATAGGAGGGTAGGGATATCAATTTTGGTTTATTATTTTCAATAATGAAACATTGTGTTCGATCAAAAAATTCGAAAAACGAATAAAAAAATTTTTGTCCGTCCGCCGTCCGCGCATTTTCTCCGAAACTACAGGACCGATTTTTAAAAAAATTTGATATAAAATCAGAGGTCGCCCGAGGATGATCCTCCTTCATCGACATTACTCTCCGCCTTTAACCTTCAAAATGGCGGCCGAAAAACCTGCGTTGCTATAGACTGTAGCTCCTAAACGAATGTACATATTTCAATGAAACTTCGCTAAAGTCATTTTCTCGACGCCCTTTAAATTTATCTATATTACACACTTCAACGAAAAGAAGCTGGAAAAAAAGTTACGAGGGATGGTAAAATTAAATTCCGAATAACTCGAAAAATTTTACGTTTTTGTTGAAATTCACTTAAAAAAAAAAATCGTTAAAATCGGACAATTAGGAGCAAAGATATGGTCTCCGGTTTTTTTTTTTTATGTGTTCTACTCCAAATGTTATATCCTTGGTTTGGTTTTTAAATTTTAAATGTGTTACTGAACTAATGCTATTTTTTTTAGCATATTACTAATGATTAATGAAAAACAGTTTAGTCAAATAATTGGAATCACCTTATGTTTTTTTTTCTTTGTAACTCGGAAGGTAATGTTACTTTAGATGTATAATTGTTTGGAAATAATAACCCATTGTGAAATAATTTGCAGCGTTTTTGAAGTGTGTCTAACATTTTGATACTGAGTGTAATATTATATAAAAAGTCCGTGTTTCATTTTTAACCACCAACCCCGAAAAATACTAGACGGATTTACTCAGTGAAATGGGCCATTAATTTTAACTCATTAAAATCTAACGAATAGAAAGAAATTCGAAAATATGTTCAATCACGTTTAAAGAATTTTGCTACGTAAACTTAAAATATTAAATTTTACATTCTTGGTATATAATTGTTACATTATTGTTCGATGTTATAAATATGCTACAGAAAAAACTAAAATATTGGTGTTCGTACTTATAGCGGCTACAGAAAACGAGAGGAACGACAAAATGAAGTATAAAGACTCCTGCACACAGAATACAATATGTCTTGGCGATACGATATTCCTGTTGGCGGCGATATGGCGATATAGTTGAACTACTACTTAACTTAACACAGAGCGCGATAATCCGCAGCGATACCGACATATGGTATCGTCGGGACATTACAACCACCTTCTTAATTACTTTAAAAATTAATATTGTTTTCAATAAAATTAAAATAATAATTTTTAAAAAAATAACCCCAATTTTGCTCGGTAGTTATTTGATCTTTTAACTAACGAGAGACAATTACCACGAATAATCACCTGCCTTTAAAACTCGAAGGAACAAATTTTAACACTAATTTTGGCATTATGGACCATTCAATGTTTTTAATTATTTTTTAAAGAGTAAGATAAAATGTAAAATTATAATTAAAAGTAAGTTATGTCGTTATAATTAAATACGATTTAATTTTCTTAAAGTAAATAGGACTCATTAAAGTCAAATCATATTTGAAAAAGTAGAAGTTATTATTTTAAGGTCATATACAATTATGTTCACAAGCAGATAAAGCCATCTTACCACATGTACAAACGTTTGTACATCACTGGCTATATTGTTGAATTATTGTAGATCTGTTTTGTAAATCAAAGGTAAAACTGGCATTTTATTTTTGTATAATTTTTTTTTTAAGTGAAACTTTCTTAGGGCGCGCTAGGCAGTTTATTTTGTGGGTATTGAATGACACTGAGCCGTCACATACGGCTGAATATAGTCTAAATTATCTCAGAAACTAAAAATCGGAACTGCATACTGTACTGCATAATGACCGAAAAGTTCAGCATTTCATCTTATTTGTAATCAGCTATTATTCAAAATTTTATCTTGAAGAGTTCGAAAGGGTAAAATGTAGTAAAAAACAAAACAAATGATAAAGACTGTTTTGAACATTTGGACTAAAATATCTCAAAATTTATATACCTTGGAGAATTCAGAAGTCAATATAGATATATTTTTAAATAGCCGTAAAAATAAGAAATTAAGGGTTTTTATTCGGGTTTCTGTTGCAACCGAAAATGTTTCGAATAAATACTGACACCCGTTACAAAAGTTTTATTAAAATGAAAAGTATCAACAATGCATAATTGTCTGTTATAATAATTGACGTATCATTGTATACGGATGTATCAATATTTAAATATCTGTTACAGAAGATGTATGAAGAAAATCACAACGATGTGAATATAAAACAAACAAAAAATTATATTTCATATTTATAATCTTGCCTCGTTAATGTTTTCCCTTCTGTCGAGTGGTCTTAAGCACACACCTTAGTTGTTTTTTTTAAACCTTATTTATTGAGAAAACATTGAGTTTCAATTAAGGACATTTATAATACAGATGAGATAGCATATTCACACCATATTTACATAAAATATTAATAAAGTAATTAATTTATATTGCTATTACAATGTATTACAAGAAAATAAGAACAAAATAAAATATCATAGAGAAAGCAAAATTTATCTGAAAAGATAAAATAAACATATAAAACAAAGTCATACTAAATAATATTAATAATTAAGAAGGAATATCTGAGTACATTCTCTCCTTAGTTCAAACATAAATTTGTTCTTAACTATCTACCACATCGCTATTGTTTATGCAAAAAGATCGAAAACAACAAATCATGTCTCGTGAAATAGGAATCTCTGTCAGATCAATGTCTCTTATAATAAAAAGTGACCTTAGGATGGGTGCATTTCGAAGAATAACAGGATAAAGGCTAACCACTTCCCTAAAAACAATTAGAGTGGATAGATGTAAAGTGCTTCTTTGCCGTTAAACCAGTGGTCTTCATCAAAAGATTTTGTTTAGAGATGAGAAAATATCTACAATTTAAGAAAAATTTAATCGCCAAAATGATCGTGTGTACGTACACAGCTCTAAAGAAGCTGAGGAAGTCATTGGAAGAGTGGAAAGAGGTCGTCACCCTTAATCAGTGATGGTTTGGTGGGGAGTTTGCTTTGATGGCACCACAATGCTCCATTTTTGTGAAAAAAAGAGTTAAAACAGCCGCTAAAAACTACCAGGACGATATTTTGGAACCTGTTGCCAAACCTCCAAATGATACTCTGCTGGAAGTCATTGGGTTTTCCAGCAGGATTCCACTCCAGCTCACAAGGTCAGGTTAACTCACCAGTAGCTACAAAAGAACATTCCAGAGTTCATCTCTGCCTCGGATTTACCCTCAGGAAGCTCCGATCTCAACCCACTAGATTATCGTCTTTGGTCCGAACTGGAGAGGATGGCATCCCACAGAACACATCCAAACTTGGAAAGTCTCAAACAATCTCTGGTCCGAGCAGATGAGCGCTTTCCTCAAGAAGTTCTGCGTGGTGTTATTTATGACTGACCACTGAGATTAAATGTCAGTTTTCTTGTTTTACTCTCTATAGATATACATTTTATTTTCTAATAAAGTTTTTGAAAAATTAATTTTTCTGTAGAAATCAGCATATATTTCTTTGTACCAATATTTATGACAGGACTAGGTATTAGTGTGATTCCTTATTTTTTTAGCTGCTCGCTGCTTATAGTAGTTTAAACTAAAAAAAATGACACTATTAATACAAATAGAATAAAAAAATGAAAACAATTTTAAATTCGAATTTTTGCGCAAACAGAGCGAAAACTGGAAATAATTTAAATATTTTTAACTTTAGCTCTTATAATACACAAGAGTTTTGGCATGAGCGATTCCATAAGAGTGAACAAGAACTAAGCATTATTTGCCACAGCGGTATCCCGTCCCATTCCTTTCCTACTCAGCTTCTAAAAGTACGAAGAAAATGGCTATCGATCGAAACAAGTAGATTGTTCCACTTTTGTTTCCATCCATTCCCTTTTGTATTGCTCTGTATTAGAGCTGACCAATGGTGGAACTCTTCGTTATAGTTATAGTATGGGATTAATCCGTCTAAAAATCCATTAATAAATTCATGAAAAATAAACATTTTCAGCTGTTTCTTGATTCTTTAGGTGTATATAGTAGACACTCCATGGAGTAACTGGGAAGAAAATGGTTAGAGAGTAATAGAATAAGTGAATATTGAGACTCCATGTAGGCTACTTCGAAAATAAGGGCAAATAAATGAAAGAAGACAAAAATATTCTATTTCAATCATTAGTGAAGACAGGATTTAATTATTTTTCATTTATTTTTTTAATAACGGCAATTACTCTTGAAGAAGAAGAAAAAAACTCTATGAAATGGTGTTCGAATGCTCCTTTAAGGCATAAAAAAGTTAATTGCAGAAACATTTAGTAATACATTTCTTATATTTGTTCTTGGCACGGGCTTAAACTTTGGAGCTGTATAAGAATATATTATATTTAAAAAGAGAATGTACTGTGATTGTTAAAATATTTAACTTAACTCACTCACATATTCAAATATGGACCAATGAAAAATATAGTTAAATTCCTTTTTTTTTACGATCAATTTAAAACAAAAGAAGGGACAATATTCAAACATAAAAATGATAAACAAAAGGGACAATGACGTTTTCAATCCTACATCATACCGACCTATCAGTCTTCTTGTAATGTGTTCCAAAATATTCGAAAAATTAATATAGAAGAGATTGGTTGACATAATAACGGCCCAAAACCTAAATCCTCACCATAAATTCGGCTTTCGTACATTTCATACAACTACGCACCAATAACACAGAGTTACTGATTATATTGCTGGAGCACTAGAGCAAAAACAATATGCAACCGGCGTATTTCTGGATGTTTGCCAGGCATTCGATAAAGTCTGGCACTCTTTAAACTCAAAACTATACTACCTCATACATACTATCTTATTCTTCAGTCTTTACTTTTCAACAGATTTTTCTCTGTCCGACAGGGCTTAGAAAATTCCTCCATTCGACCAATAAATTTACAAAATAGGTATTCACTTTGGAAAATTAGATTAAATTATGACAAATCACAACACATAACATTCAAACTTCGACATGACACATGCCAACCAGAATATATTGGCGACAATCTTATTCCTCATACAGACACTGTACATTATCTGGGGTAATATTCGACTGAAAATACTACACTCACTTTTTTCTAAATAAAAGTTGAAAATCAGACAAAAACTAAATACATACACTTACCTACTCAAGCGCATAAGGATATACGCCTCAAAAAATTACGATTATGCAAAAAAAAGACGCACTTACAAAAACTATAAACATTTCAATCCAAAATTTTACGACTTATAACAGGAGCTCCCTGGTAAGTAAACAACAAAACCTTACATAACGACTTAAGAAAGCCAACTATCGACAAACACATACGTGATCTCTACTCCCGATTTCAACTTGAACTGCACGGACATCACAACGGTCTTATTAGCGACACAACTGACTTCTCCATCAGACGACTAAAGAGGAGCTGGATGAGAGATTTCCTTTCCTAATTGAGGAAGTAAACCAAGACCAGGACGAGGTGCTGGTGGGTACTATTTTTCCCTCATACCTAAAATACCAATTGTCTTATTAGTTACAGCACATCTGATTATTGTCAAGCTTATGACATCTATGGATGGAAATATGAAGGAAAAAAAAAAAATAATTACTAGTTCAATTTCAATAAATATTTTAATTCCCTTCCCATACATCAGTAGAAGATTCGTGATACCAGGGTCAACGGACACTGATTTTCTCTAAATTTCTCAAAAAAATGAGAAAAAATAAATAAATGTTTCTGTAGCTTAGAAATGAGTTTTTTAAGAGAAAAAAATCATAGAATAATAATTGTATAGCATCAAATTTTGGGTTCACTGAGTACCAACAGTTTTAATGCATGGATTCTCGGACTAAGAGGATATTGAATCCAGGCGGAGACAAAAGGAAGTGAATATAATTATACAAAATACTAAACAATTAGAAAAGTAATTGTTTTTAACCTCTTTTTTTTAAGAACGAAAAAACAAAACAAATAGGTTGAAATGGTTTTAAAATCGATTTTACTTTAATTCTAGATTAAAACCAAATCGACTAAAGAAATTCGAATGGCTAATTGAAATACTAATTGTCAGAGACCTCCACCAGCCTTTTCCCTACCTCCCATTTGATAAATTTCTTGACGTAGCCCAGGTCTTTGACATGGCTTGGAATCCGGTACTAGTTCAGAAACTTCCCCGGCCCTACCTACATACTTCCTCATTATCCGTGCTTGCCTCGCTGGAAGGATATCTAACTCAGGTAAAATTTCTCTTAATAATAATAAGATCTTCATTCTCTTCTTCATTCATTCGCTTTATTAGATCGTCATTCCTTCCGAGGAATTTTCTCTTCATTGTAAGATACGTTAGAGATGATACCAATACCCAACATATTCTAACAAAGATTCTGACAGCTTATGTTCCATATTCCTGCTATAAGAGATGTGTAATTTTTTTTTTATTCATTTTGTTATTCACATTGTTATTTACAACTGTATACATATATACAAGTAAATCTGCAATACGAATATAAAATATGATAAGACTTGTGAAGAAGCTACCCATTGGTAGCACAAGAAAAATTAGATTAATTTAAGAGGTCACTTTGCCATCTTCTTTTCAGACGCCTCGGAGGATTGTCAGAAGGTGATTTGGATGAAAGTTTGGATGAACTAGAGGGTTATAGTGACGAAGAGTTTGTAATTAAAAGAGGAATAGTTAATTCCGACCAAGTCTTCAACAAATAGAATTTTGAGGTCATATGAATGATTTTCTTTCTGACGTAATAAGGAATATTAAGGATTTCGGATTTTTAGGATTAGACACGGGAAGAATTCGACGATTTTGTGGAGCCCCAAAGTTCAATTTCATATGTCCAAATGGGCCTGAGTTTTTATGTAGAATATTGGAAGTTGATTGTTTCTAAAGTAAGAGTTGAAGTAATCGGGATCTATTAGCAGTTTCTTGTCTTTCCAATCTAGTATGAGGATGGTAATTATCAAACTGGAATTCGTACATAGATGGCTCTAGTTGTTAAACTGCATTATTGGCGCCATTTTGTTTATGCAACAGCTGACGAAGATTTTAAACTCAGAACAATACAAGTATCATACAACATAATCGTTTTAATAATGTTGAACTTATCTAGTATCATGCCTACAAGCTACGATTTGCGGACAGCATTTTTTTTCTATTACGATTCTAAGAAAACTGTCTGCCGAATAACATCGAATGCTTATCGAAGCTTTTAGTGAGCATATTAAAATTACATCACAGTCCTTTTTGAGTGATTCAAACAATTCAACAGCGGCAATTGTGGCGTGAGAAATAAAAGACGTGGACCGGAGATTTTTATGTATCATGAGAAGCTAAAACCAAGCAAAACCATTATCAAATGATCATACTGGATCGAGTGTTTAGTAAAAAACGACCTGATGATCAAAAAAGGCAACACAAAGTGATTTTTCTTCATGATATAGCACCACTACAGACAGAAAAGCCGGTGAAGGAAACAATTGAGGCGTTCAGTTGGAAAATATTAGTACATGCGGTTTAAACATCTGACATGGCTCCGTGCGTTTAGTGTGTCCATATATATATATAACATTATTACTTTGGGAGAAAAATAAAGAAACTATGCATATGAGTGAAATTAGTGAAAATAATGCTTACTTGATTCTTGAAGACCAATTTAAAAAATGTATTTTCTTACTTCAATGTACTTTTCGTAACAATATTTTAACACTTTTTTCATGGCTATGTTTAGTAGTTGTAAATGAATTACAATTATTAGGTAATATTAGACTTGCCTTATGGAAAAAGTGTTAAAATATTATCACGAAAAGTACATTCAATTAAGAAAATACATTTTTTTGATTGGGCTTCAAGAATCAATTCATATCAATCAAACATCATTTCATATGGATAGTTTCTTTATTTTTCTCCCAAAGTAATTAATGTTATATAATATATATATATATATGCACACACTAAACGCACGGAGCCATGTTTTGTGAATAAGCCGCTAATATTTTCTAACTGAACGCCTAAATCGTTTCCGTCGCTGGTTTTTCTATGTGTAATGGTGCTACATCATGAAGAAAAATCACTTTTTTTTGCCATTTTTGATCTTCAGGTCGTTTGTCACGAAACGCTCGATTCAATATTTGATAATGGTTTTGCCTGGTTTTAGCAGCTCATGATACATAAACACCACCGTTCCACATTTTTTATTTCTCACGCCACAATTGCCGCTATTGAATAGTTTGAACCACTCAAAAAGGACTGTGATTTACTTTGAATATGCTCACTAAAAGCTTCGATAAGCATTAGATGTTATTTGGCAATCAGTTTTCTTAAAATG